TATATATATATATATGTACTTTTATATCTGCATGTATGTACATATATATGTATATGTATGTATATTTAAATGTGTATATGTATATGTATATATGTACTTATGTACAAATGTATTATGTATATATGCATGTCGTTATATGTACACAGATGTACATCTATATATATATATACATATATGTGTGCGTGTATATATATATATACACATTTGCATACACATCTACATGTTCATGTGCATGTACATATACACATATACATGTACATAGAGATACATACACGTGCACATGTGTGCGTGTGTACGTGCACGCGGGATCACGGGTGTGTGGGTGTGTTCTACTCATCGTCAAACCCGTTCCGTGCCTGCCTCTCTTTGTCTCCCTCCCCCTCCCGGTTCCTGGCACGCCCTGTTTCCCAAGCTTACAGGGAACGTATCCAAAGCGCTGTGCCCTGAGCCAGGAAGAGATTATGTTCCTGAAGTCGGAGATCTCCAACTTGCAGGATAAGGCCTGCAGAAAGCCTGCCTTTGTGCGGGTTGCTCTCTCTCTTTTTTTTGTGAAGGGGGATTGGTCATTGCACCGTCTGGAGAAACTGCAAGTTTCTACTATTACTATCGTGCCGTAGGCATATTTAGGCATTGAAGTACTCGCCGCCACGTGGCTCGCTGCAGCAAGCCCGGCACACATGTTGCTGGGCGGGTTGCTCACAGAAATCCGTGTGTGAACTGTGTGGCATCAACAACATTGTCTCTGCCGGTGCACTTGCTGTGACAATGTAGACGTATCCATTTGCAAGGGGACAGGTGAGTTGGCAGTCACACGCAGTCAGACTTGCTCGAATCCGACATCGTCCCACCAAGCGCATGTGAGTTTACAGCTTCAGATGGTAACTTCCATGGCCTGCGTTGTTTTGGGTTGACCACCCCTACAAGAGATGTTTGGATGCTTGGGCTCTTCATATTCGCGTTCTTCCAGAAAATCCAAAATCCTGAAGCTTCCGACGCCCCGCGGTCATGATACGCGATTTGGCGCAGCATCCTGGATTCCCTGTTTATAGACATTACAGTATGTTGTCCTGCTTTTCCTCGCGAAAATTTGTTGCATCCGAGATTCGAGACCCGAGCCCGGAGGCCGGTTGCCTCTAATATAGGAGCCGGAACAAAAAAATAATGTTACTCCTTAAGTCTCTCTATTGCAACTATGCGGTCGCATGTCCCAAAACCCCAATTCTAGTCATTAAGGCTCCTGTCTTACGTTCTTTCCCACCTCAGGTCTCTGAGATCTCGGAGGCCTTAGAGAAGAGGACGCACTTGCTGCTGCAACTTGCAAACCAAACAACAGCAACGGGTGTGGAGGGTTTAGGGCCGTTTAGGGTACAAAGAGCTTCCTGGAGTGCCATATGCCAACGAGGCTCAAAAACATAGCGCAAGGGAGCCAAACACCCTCACTCTGAACCCCTGCACAATACTGTCGCGTTGTGAGGCCAGAAACCTTGCAGCCAAACTGCTCCGGAGCACAAATGGCCCCTCCTAAACCTTAACACTTCTGCGGAAGCGGGTAGTATGCCAGTTTGATTGCTTACGAACATCGTAGACTGTCGTGCTAGGAAGATGTAACCGAAGTGCTTCGACGTACCAGGAACCTCGCCGGGCTTGTCCCAGTTGTGAGTGCTGAAACCCCAAAAGCCCAAAACTTCTGAAGTTTGAATCCACTACCCTCGACACCTCGAAGCAGAATCCTGTCAGAGCACATTCGCCCGTCAGGAGTGCGGTTTTGCCGACGACCCCTCCGGCAGTGACGGTCAAGACCCCAGAAAGGTCAATATGCTCACGGGACTATGAACTCTTGTTTGTTATTTGCAGCTCACTGTTCCCGGAATCGGGGTGCATGTGCCACAGGGCTTAGGATTTCCAAGCCAGGTCCTTGTGGTTCTTGTAGCTGGTTCTGTCTGGAACTGGGCACTGGGCACCGCTGTCCTGTTGCACCCTCATCACGCTTTCGAACGTTGGCGCAGGTAACAAGCCTTCTTGACGAATGCCTGCCTGCTTGCCGGTATGCCTGCCTGGCATGGCTAGCACATGACCCAGCACATTCAGTGTCCAAAGCTTCACGGAGCAAGTTGGCCTGCAGTCCCATTTCAGACTCAAGTGCTGTCCTCCATTGGCTCCACTAGACACTCGTCAGCATGGCGGAAGAGGAGGGCCAGGAGGTCATCTTCACAGAGAACACCGCACCCGACCGTGAGATTTGGGATGAGAAGGGTGGCTTGATCAAGAAGGGTGCCGCTGAGATTGCGGAGCGAGACCAGGACCACGTGCCCGAGGTGAAGGTGCTGACCACTCTCGGGATGTTTGCCGTCCCCGTGACTGCCGAGACCACGATCGGCGAGATCCGTCAGAAGGTGCAGGAGTGGAAGCCCGAGTACTCTCTCGAGCAAATTGAGCTGGTCTGCAAGGACAAGGATGCTTGGGGGCCTCTGTTCAACAAAACTTCTCGGCCACGTGACGATGACGAAACAGTTGAGTCGTTGTGGAGTGATTGGGACATTCCCCGCCGCATGATGCAGGTAGCCCTGTGGATCAAGGAGAAGAACGAGGAAACCGGAGAGTGGGAGAGCACGTTTTGGAAGATGCTGGAGGAGTCCAAGTGCGACGATTGGAGCTTCCAGGGACACACGATCTGAGCCGAGCGCCAGCACAGGGTGCCTGCGTAGTAGCCAGGAACTTCGTCGCAGAGTGGTGTTATTGTTGTCGTTCTTCCTCCTCGAGCTTGGTTTGCGGCAGACGCTCGCAAAAGTAAAGCCAGAAGCTGGCGTTAGGGTTTAGGGTTTAGGGCAGTTTAGGGTTTCAAAAGGGTCTACAGCTGTTCCAATTCCAATGTGTTTGGGCCTCTGGATGTCACACCGGTAGGAGGGGCTCAGCATTGAAGGACTTTCCACGCCTGCCTGACACTCGCCAGCCTTAGGTGAATACACAGGGCAATGTATGAAGGATTCCTGCCGGAAGCAACTTGATAGATGTCCCGCTACTGTGGCTGTGGCTGCTGCTGCCGCTGCCGCTGCCGCTGCCGCTGCCGCTGCTGCTGCCGCTGCTGCTGCTGCTGCTGCTGCTGCTGCTGCTGCTGCTGCGGCTCTAGCTCCTGGCGTTGCGGCTGCTGCCGTCGTCGCAGCCCATGCTGCCCCAACTACAAAGATCACTGCGACTTTACTGCGGCCGGCGACGAGAACGATCACGGCGCCGGCGCTGCCTACTACTGCTGTACCTGGTACTATAGTTGCTACGACGACGTCGACCTACCACGACCACGACGAACGATACGAATGCGATCCAACGGTTATGACGACGACAACGGCAGCCGCTGCTGCAACCACCACTGCTGCTACCGCTGCCGCAACTGCAGCTGCTACGGCTACTGCTGCTGCTACTGCTGCTGCTACCGGTTGGCACTGCCATACCACTTCTGCTGCTGCCACCACCTGCCACTATCTGCGCTACCATGTCTTGACCCCAGCCGTCTTCACCACCACTACCACCACCACTGCCATTGCCATTACCACCACCGCTACTTTCATCCTTCATCGCCGCTATGTCATCATGTCGTCATCACAGGCATTTTGAGATGACGGCGATGGTAATCGTAATGAGTTGAAACCATGTTTCGCACTTTTCAGCCTTCTGAGGCTTCCCAAGTCCGGGCTCCCACGGAAGCGCCGCAAGCGGCTGCAGGGTCGGGGGCTGAGCTGTCTTGCTGTCCTGCAGCGCCGAGGAAGCACCAACACCTTTAGGGTTCGAAATGGCGGGCCTTGCCGGAATTCCTAAGCGGAGGGCTAGAAGTTTTGGCCAGTGCCGTAAGCCATTCGTGGCACCGGCGAAACTCTCTAGGAGCGTTGCAGCATTTCCTGTTCACGGTAAAGCAAGTCTAGGGAGGGGCAAGAGTGTGTAGAGAAGTGAACTTACTTAGTTGTAAATAGTTGGCCTGCATCGATGCAGGCAGCAGCGGCAGCAGCAAGAAGCCCGAAACGGGGCTGTAGGCTGCAAGGTTAAACCATCCCGGAGAATCGCGCATAGGCGAGAATCTGAGGCTAGAATATTCAGGTCGATCCTGACGGTCTGATTTCTGCTCTTCGGCTTCGGATCCTGCAAAACAGGAGGTCTGAATCTTTGAGGAGAAATCCCTGTGTTCCGCGACAAGACTGGCTTGAACTACTAGGAGCGGTCGCTATACGGGCTACTCAACCCTAAACCGAAGCCCAAACTGCTCTAGTCTTGATTAGGGGTCCGAGGCCCTCAATCCAAATCCAAAGGTTGACTCGACGCGGCCTTTTCGTGGACCTTTTGAGTGAAAGGGATGCCAAACTGCGTCACTTCTTTCCAAGGCCTGACTGCTAAACGCAGCCCTTAACAGGTTGGCCTTGCGTGGGCAAAAGGCTGCGAACTCCACCCGGTCCGCAGCTGTTGCTGAGCCGCAGGCGGGAGGGCAAGCATTGAATGTTTTCTTTATCTTCAGTACGGAGTTTAGAGCTCTCTAGCATAGGGGTCGGAGTAAGTATTACTAGTACCTCCTTAGATTCCGATACACATAGTAGTGCAATATATCACAAAAAAATGCTCCTCGGTCTTTTTTCGGGGAAGCCGGGCTCAATGCTGGGGGGAAGGAACAGACGGGGGCGGTGCTGGCGTTGGGGTCAAGCTTGTTTCGCCCTTCTGGTTTGGACATTTAGGATGTCTTTCAGAACCCATGAGCCAGTGCTGCATGCAGAATGATGCAGATGTAAGCCTATAGGAGGAGTCGAGGGTGTTGCCAACTACTTCGCTTGGTCTTCTTGGACAGATCCATCGCTTGCGTGCCAAGTATTACGGCTTCAATTAAGCCTTAAGCCGACCGTCTGGGGCTTGAGGTTCACACCCGTAGCATTTGAGCAAGTACGCGATGTACTTGTCCATGAATGCCCGAACCAAGCAGTTCGCAACACCCTTTTCACTCGCTCGATACAGTTAGCTTACATCTGCAACGCCAGCTCATAGACTCTCCTAGACCCCCCTGGCCTAAACCCTCAAACTCTGTAAGCCCGTCGTTCAATTCCACCTTAGCTAGCGGCCCTCGTGTGGGAGTCCTCAATCGGATGTAGGGTGCGGAGGGGCGCTCACAGCGTCAAGCGCAAATCCGGGAGACAGGCAACACTACTAAATCTCAAGACCTTTAGCCCGGAACTCGATAGCCCCTGCCCTGAACCGTAAAGCCGCTAAACCGTCGTACTCACCAAACCTCGAAGCAACGACACCATCTACACCATCCTGGAGCCCCAGCCTCATAAACGCTTTGCCACCGAAACCGAAACTCACAAAAGCCCTGAGGCTCACCTCCTAGACCCGGAAACCGCCTAACCACAGCAATCACCATCAACCCGAAAGAAGCCCTGCACAGTCCCCGTATGGTAGAATTGAAGCAACCCTTACAGTAACCCTAAAAACCTCTTATCCGCTGCTATTTTGGGGTTCCCGATTCTGACTATAGTACACCTCAAAGCCCTCTTCTTATTATTCAGGCCCCCGTTCTCAACGTCCCACACTACCCAAGTATAGTAGCCCTTCTAGGACTCCTTGAAGGAGCCCTACCCTAATTATCACGACCCCTTTTTTTTTCCATGGGAGGCTCTCGAGGTTGTGGAGCCTTTAGGCACGGAGGCCGCCCTATTTGGGGGGGTTGGGACCAGGAAAGCAAAGGTCGGGGGGGGGGGGGGGGGNNGGTGTTGGAGTTGTTTAGGATTTTCTTGGTGCCTGATTTACGGGTATTGGGTTTTGGGTTGGCATCAGTGAGCCCCGTCTGCAAGATCAGGATTTTGGGGGGGGCGACATCGTTTTACCTGTAGCTGTGACCCCAAGAAGCCGACAGCAGGAGCCTGCGGCAAAAAATCTTGCAGCTCTTCCTGTGCCCTTATGGCGCCCTTGTAGGACCCCGGAACCCGAACAGAACCCTCATTACAATCCTTACTACACTATCAAGTTCTTACAAGACCCTTGACCCTGTACCCTGAACCCTTTTCTATAAACTTTGCACCTAAAGCCCCAAACCCAGTAACCCTCAACCCGAAACCCTATAGGCCATAAGACTGAGGCCCTTGCCCGCTCCGAGACGGAGGAAATCGCCGAGACAGAGTCCGGAGAATCCTTGCCGGGCAAGGCCAAGTTTCTCAAACTTTCGGGCTGCTGCCGTTGGGTTTAGGGTTTAGGGTTCAGGGTTCAGGGTTCAGGGCTTAGGGTTTAGGGGTTGCTCAAAAAGGGTTTAGGGTTCAGGATTGCTCTTGGTTTAGTGGTTGGTTGCTATTTCAGCAAGGGTTTTTTCTGTCTCTCCCGCTCTCTCTATACGTTATTGTGTGCATGCATGTGTGTGTGTGTGTGCGTGTGTTTGTGGGTGCGTGTGTACGTAGTCGTTTGATATGCCGGAAAATCCCTCAGCCCTACCCTCAGTCCAAAACCCTGGGCATGTCCGAGTTGCGAGAGCTGAAACCCTCCACCCCAGGGCACTTAGTAAACCCCAAACCCCACAAATCCGCTTACCTGCGAGGCCGCTGAGGAGGGAGCAGGAAGCGAGATGGATCCCGAGGTCTGGGCAAGTGTGCGGGGTCTGCTGGGGTTTTGCAAAATGGGGTTCTGTTGGGGTTCTACAGGCCGGGCTCTGGGATTTTGCCCCTTTGAGGAAGTGCAAACTGGTAAGTATCAGGTTTCTGAAAACGGGAGGCCCCGCTTTATCTCAGGGTGTCCCTTGCCAGGCATGCGCTCGTTTGTTTTGATCTGCGTCAAACGACCTGGCGCTAAGCAACTTCGAGCTTGGTAGCGGGCTTCGCAGGAGTTGGTGCGTTGGGCCCCCACTGGCCCAGATTCCAAATCCTGACTCTAAACTCCCCCAAGCACAAACAGGACTTGTAGAAATACACATACTCGTAAATAGCTGTAACTCTGTGTGAATGTGACTATACACCGTGAAAGTGCGCACAGGCTGTGGAATGGTTGCTTGGTTTACTTCCCCATCCCCCCCTCCGCCTTGTGGAACAGCATCGGTTCTCGCTCCGTATGTTTCTTGCATTTGGGCGGATACCATGGCGGGGCACGGCACACAGAAGCTAGCTACACAAAGTCTTTTTTGAAGGGAGACATATAAGTAAAGCAGTAGAAGGAGAGAGGAGAAAAAGACCATGGATGGAACGAGCCGAATCAGATTACGCAAGTCCTTCACAGAGGGAAGGCGAATACATGCATAAACGTAGAAGGGAGTTCGTTAGGCAAGACTACGCAAGTCTTTGGAAGAAGGAAGACAACTACGTGAAACATAGAAGGAGCTAGCAATTAAGGAAGACAGGTGCACACACACACACACACAAGTGTAATAAGTGTAGAAGGGACTACTTAAACGAGACTGCACAAGTCCCATTAGCAAGGGGGCAAATGCACAGACACATATAAGCAACGAGGGAACTAATGACAACTGCGGCTGGCTTTTCCAGGGTCCCCAGTCGGCAGAATCCGAGCAAGACTCCAAGGAGGAGCCCTCAGGCAGTACAGGGCTGAAGGGCTGAAGGGACCTATAAGCTTTCTACAAGGTTTCAAATCACAGGGTTCTATTAGAAGGTGTCATTTTTCGTAGGGTTCCATAAAGGTCCTGCAGAGGGGTCCTGTAAGGGTTCCA